GGCAGTCGTGCCCTCTCTCCCTCCTACCCCCCTGCTCCCAGCGCCCCATGCCAACTGTGGGCCTGAGGTGGGGGAGGGTCACCCCTGTGCCTTGGTGCCAGCCAGGCGGGCTCAGGCCCCTAGGTCCTAAAGATAAAACCCAAGACCCTGTTCTCAAACAACCTCGAGGCAGCACATGGGTTAGGCCTGCAGAGAGCCCAGGAGGAGAGCCTGGTGAACGGTTATTGAAGGCTCTGCGCCCCAAGGTGGGGGCCTGCCACCAGGCGCCAGCCTCCCGGCACTCCCCCTGCCCAGGCGTTTGCTTGGGCACCAAAGTCCCTGCAATTCCTGAGAGCCTTAATGCCAGAAACCTAAGAGGGCGTGGGGTGGGGCTGCTGTCTGCCCTTTGATCCCCATAAAGGAGGGCGCCAGCCTAGAGGGCAGGGGATAGGGAGGGAGTCCATGGGGCCCCTCCATTTCACCCCTGCCAGGGGCAGCAGGGCAGGGTGTGGGCATCTCTTGGGTGGAGTCCTAAGGTGACAATGGTTAGCATGTCTCAGCAGGGGAGATGGATGTCAGTCATGGGAACATGGTGTCACAGGGGAATAGGATGACGAGAACCAGGTAGGGGGAATGCAGAGGGTGCCCGTGTCCCAATTCATCCCAATCCTGGCATGTATTTCCACCCAGAAACATTTCCAGATTGAACCCAATTGAGAGATCAAGGACTACAACTCCCAGTATGCACTACAGTTGTTTTGCATACACCTTGGGAGTTGTAGTTCCCTTGAGAAGCCCTGAGCTCTTTCTTCTCTTCCCCAGAGTCCTGCTGATGGGGTGGGGAGGGCAGAGCAGAAGACCTGGTCACTAATCTCCACGGGGACTGTGTTTAGGAGAGATAAAAGGCTGGGAGGTCCATGATGGGGGGAGAGAACCCCTGCTCCCAGGCAAAGGGGGAGGAAAGGAGGAAGGAAGGAAGAGAGGATGTCTGTTGAAAGGGGCATATGGGTGGGGAGGAGTGGGGGGGCAATGGAAACAGGAAGGAAACCAAAGCCAGAGACATGAGGTCGAAAGCAAGGCTTGGTGGAGCCCCACTCCGAGGCCTGGCAGGGACAGGGACGGCATTTCCCCATGCCAATCTGGTGGCCTGGGGAGGCAGAAGGGGAATTGGTAATGTCAAGTGACAGCAAACTGGTGTGTTTGCAAGGGGGTCCCTGGCTACGTTTGCCTGTCACCAGCGCTCTCTCGTTTGGGGCACCCCAATCCCTGGACCTGGCACAGGTATTTGGTGGCTGGGAAGCTCTGAAGGCTGATTGGGTTCTGGAATACTAACAGGCCGAGAAAGGGGCCAGGGGACATGAGGGACAGGCCTGAGGGGAGTTCGGTGGAGTGGGGACAGGCCCAGGTGTGAAGTCAAGGCATTGTGCTGGCAAATGAGGATGCTGTTTATCCTCCAGGGCCTACCCCTCAGGGCCGAGGCCATGCAGCTGGGAGGCTTCGTGGAGGAGAGGGCTGAGATGCCAAGGCCACCGGCCTCCCACCCCCCTCGAGAGCGAAGAGGGCAGCCCTCTCTGGTCTGTCTGCCTGTGGTCTTTGCCAAGGGGAGTTCCCCCCGGTGCCAGGAAGCCTGTGAGCATTAAAGGTGCCTTTCCTCAGTGGAGTGGAGGTTAGAAGTGGCAGAGGCTCTGCTTTGGGACCACTTTGCTTGGCTCCTCAAGGCTCTGGGACAAACGCTTCCAGGCCCCAGCCAAGACTCGCCAAGACCTGGGTCTGGCTGGGTGGGGTGGGGGTGGGGGGTCTTTCGTGCCCTTCCGAAGCCCTTGATGGTGGACTACAGTAGTCCTCACCCCTGCCCCCAGTCCCCCAGGCCCGCCTTGGCGCCTGGCCGCCCGTGTGCTGGCAGGACTGGGGTGGGGGGGCGGCGAGGCAACTTCAAACTGTCCGGGCAAAACGTCAAGTTTACTCACGAGTTTACTCAGCAGAAGGCGGGGGAAGAGGCCAGGGCAGGCACACCCCATGCCAGGGTCCTATCTGTCCCCACCTTCCTCCCTCACCCTCCTCTTCAGCCCTAGGCCAAAACAGGCATGGGCTCCAAGGCCTGGTGCTACCTCTCAGAAGGTCAGGGAACCAAGCACACTAGAGGCAGGAAGCCCTGAAGCAGGCCTGGAGGCTTCTATCAGAGGGCAGTGCCCGGCCGGGAGTCCACTCACTACCCATCCTGGGGCTTCGGCGCTGGGTTAGAATTGGGTCTCTTAGACACCAGGAGGACGCAGTACCAGGCCAGGCCTCCTCTATCTGAGCAGTCCCCTAGGCAGTGACTTCTGACCCCAGATGCCCAGTCCCTGGCTGTGCCTCAGGCAGCATAATGCCATCTGGGCAGCCATAGAAGCAGGGGCTGCTGCTCTCAGCCTCGGCTGGGAATGGGGGACTAGCACCCTATATGACCTACTTCCCCTTCCTCTCCACCTGCTTTCATTCTCTGCTTCTCTGCCCCCAGCCATCACTGTCCCCTCAGAGGCACCCGGTCCCCCATGCCCGTGCTCGCCGGGCCCCCCTCCCCCACCCTTCCCCAGGGTGCCAAGTGCAAGCACACAAAGGGCCCGATGGTGCATTGTTAGCCCAGCCCCCGCTGCCCGCCGCGCCCTCCTGGGGCAGGCACTAGGCCAAGGAGGAGTTGAAGGCCCTGGGTGCCAGGGGGCACCACAGGGAAGGGGGACGAGGTCAGCACCTGTCTCCTGGACACTGGGGTGCACATCAGCCGGAGCCCAGCCGTGATGAGAGCGCCTCCTCAGAGCAGGCCTCTCTCCTTGACACCTGAGCCCAGTGGGCACTGCCTTCTTTCTTCCCCAGAGCCCCTTTCCAGTGGCATTAACCCCTTCCTGACCCCTGTGCTCAGGCTGGGGGAGGTGTGGTACCCAAAGGAGGGGATAGTGTCTGGGGGTGTCAGCCGGCTGCATGGTGCCCACAGCAACCATGTAACAGAGGCACGCTGGGGGAGCTGGGTCCCGGGGGCCAAGGCCAGGAGGCACTGACAGCGATTTCTTCTTGTTTCATCAGCTGCCCCGGAGGGAGCCCCCTGCCCTTCGCAGTCACCCCGAAGGAGGAACACGAACTACCACCCAAACTCGGTCACAAGCATGTCCCTCTCCAGACCAGCACAACACTCCCCGTGCCCACTCTCCACTCCCAACCTGATGCCCACTCCATGCCAGCTCTCCCAGCAGTGCCAGGCAGGTACAGGGGTGACCAAACCAGTTGGTGTGTGTGTGGAGGGGGGTGGGAGCAGGAGGCAACCCCATAATCCTCCAGGCCTCACCCCCCCCCCCCCACACACATACATCCCCAGGGAACAGAGAGTTCCTATCCTGGTTTAACCCCTCGATGCCCAGTCTGGCTCCCCCTGCCTCCGATGAACTGTCTCCCTCCTCCAGAAATAAGTTGGGGGAAGGGGAAATAGCTGCGCTGACTCATTCCCATTCTCAGCTGCAGCTAAGGGTCTCTCGGGCATCAGGGCGGGGGTCAATTCAAGAATGCCCTCCACCTGGCCCGGAAGCCAGGACAGCCTGCTGGTCTCCCCCTCTCCCCAGCACCCACTTCCGGTGTCCCAAACTAGGTCAGCAGCGCTCGTTTCCTGTGGGTCAGCTCGCACCAGCTCCTCTGCCCCTCCCCTGCTCGGGACCCAGGCTCCCCCCTCCCAGGGCGCCCCGAGGTCTCACCACGTCTCAGCCGCCCTTTGATACGTGGGGGTTGTGCGGGGCGGGGGGCAGGGACCCGCCCTCTCTCCAAACACCGGCTGGGCCGGGGCGCCTGGGCAGGCACGTGTCCGGGCACAACCCGCTGCCCACGCCGCCCCCCCGCCGCGGCCCCCCCTGCTCTGGCCGGGACACGTCGCTCGCTGACTTGGGGTGGGGTGGGAGGAGGGAAGGCTGGGAATGGGAAGCGGCGCCCCCCGCCCCTGGCAGCCCGCTCCCGGCGGCGCGCGCTGTGGGCTCCGCCACGCCGTGGCGACCCCCACTCCAGGCAGGGCAGGTGCGCCGGGCGGCGGGGTGCGGGCGACAGAACCCCTCCTCGGCACCCGCCCTCGCTCCGGGTCGAGGGGCCGAGCGGGCTTTGAAAGGTGGCGGCGGGACTGCAGGGGCGGGGGGAGTGGGACGAGGGCCGGCGGAGAGAGGGGTCGATGGAGGCCGTCGCTGCGCCCCCCTCCCGAGGCCGAGCGCGGCTCTGGAAGCGCAAGAAACCGAATAGTCCGGCTGGTAACTTTCCCCGGGCCGGGCCGCCGCTCTCCGGCGCTGCCCCCACCCCGCATGCAACTGGCCCGGGGCCAACCCACAGCGCCAGGGGGCGCGGGGGGCGGGGAGGTGTTGTCCTAGTTAGAGTCCGTCAGCCTTTCCATTCCCTCCGCTCCGCCGGGCCGGGGGTCTCCCCCTCGAGTCGCCAAGGGGACGGGGGGCGCGCTCGGCGCCGCCTCGCCCTCTCGGCATCCCGGGGCCGCCAGGCTGTCTGATCCCCGAAGTGCAGAGAAAGTTTCTGGGGTCCCTCCGCCGCGGGCGGGGAGCGGCCGGAGCGCCTTCTCTACCTTTCCTCCCAGTGAAAACCCATTCCAAAGAGCCGAGGTCCCGGGAAGGCGCTGGGAAGGGGAGTGGTGGGGACCTAGCCGGCATGCGTGTGCGTGGGGGGGTCCCACTCACAGGACGGACGAAGGACACTGCAGTCGTTTGGAATCCGGGGGACCCCGGGCCGGGAGACAAAAGTGGGGTTCACTCACCTCTCCGCCGTGGGGACCGCTGGCTGGAGCTGCCGAGGCACAGCGCGTGGGGAGAAGCGCGTCCCCCGCCAGGCCCGGGGGCTCGGGGCCCTGCTCCGGTCCTGGTCAGAAGGCCGCGGTCAGTCGCGCGCCGCGCTCTGCTGGGGGGCTCCTCCTCCGCAGCCCTCGGCCTCCTCCTGCCGCCCGCCCCCCCCTCGGTCGCGAGAACCGTACATTCACCTGGCTCCCACCCGCCCCCCCTCAGGGCCCGCCTCACCTGTCCTGCTGTCTCACCTGTCCTCCAGCTTGCTTTCCCCCCATCCCTCCCCTCCCTCCCCCCGCCCCCTGCCACCCCCCAAACTCCCCCCCCAACCCTTAGCAACACCCTCTGTCACTTCCTGGTTTTTCACCCGCCCCCCAGGCCCCCCTCCCTCCACCCAATAAGGACATAAACTTCAACCCCTTGGTCCAGCCAGTCCCTGCAGGGCGCAGATGGGTCCCTCCCTCCCCGCTCCCTTCCACCCCGCTCTTCCTTTGCTCCCCGAGCCTTTCCCACCCGCCTCTTTTCCCACCCGCTTTCCTCTCTATCTCTTTCCCCCTTCACCTGCCACGGTCCCTTTCCCTCTCCCTCTCTCCCTCTCCCTGTCTCCCCTCTAGCCCCTATCTCCCGCAGTCCACCTTAACGCGAGCTCCGCCCCGGGCCCCCATCCAGCCCTCCGCAGCGGCCCCGCCCCGCCCGGGCCCTCCACCGCCCCGTCGGCCCATTGGCCCGAACACCCGCCCATCCCCACTGGGTCCCGCCCTGCGTTCGGCCAGGAACGGGGCGGAGCCGAGGGGCTGGCCTGAAAGCTGGAGGAGGAGGGGCAGGGGCGGGGGGCGGGGGTGTCCGCAGCGGCCGGAGAAACGAGCACCCCCTTCCAGGGCTCCCATTCCTCCAAGAGGGGTTTTCTGTAGGGTCGGCACCTCGGAAGGGAAGGGTACAAGAGCTTACAGAGAGGCCAGGTGGGGGCGAGGCGGGGACTCAGGGGATGGAGGGGGGTCCCGGGAGGGGCTGTAATCAGGTCAGGGCCCCGGGAAGCGGGGGGAGGGGAAGCCACCAGGCCCTCGGCTCCAGCTCCTACGCCCCATCCCTCCTCCCCCAAAGGGAGCGGGGGAGTAGAGGCTGCGAGCACCCTGCGTCCCTCCCCACGCGTGACGGCGCCCCGCGGGGAGGGATCGGCGCCCTGGGCAAGCATCCTCTGCGCTCCAGCCGCTGCCACTGCGGCCTTGGCATTGTCAGAGGGGAGGAGCCGGGATCGCGAAGATGGGGGGGTGGGGGTGGGGATGGGGGGGGGGTGGGGAGAGGCTCGCTCTCGCTCCAGCTCGAGGCCTCCAGTCCGCGGCTTCCCGAAATGGAGAAACTGAGGCTCCGAGCAGGAGGGACCTCTAGATTGGGATTCGCGGAGAAGCAGGTGGGGAGGGGGCTGCCCGGGCATTTTAGGACGTGTGGGTTTGGAGGGGGCCAGGATGCGACACTCAGGGCCCCCCGATGGAGGAAGGTAGCCGGTGAGGGACACTTCCAACTGGGCCTGCGGTGCTGTGTACCCCAAAGAGCCCCTCCCCCCCGCTAATGTCAAACGGAATCCCATTCGGACACCGCGGGCCCGGTTCGGCTCCCCGCGGCCGGCCTGGCCGAACTGGGTGGGACTCGCTTTCTCCTCCCCAACCCCCTCCGCAGGGGGCCTCCCTCCCTTTCCAGCAGGTGGCTCCGCCGGGCACCAGCTCAACCTGTTGGACCACAATGGGCGGTGCCAGTGTGGCCCTGGCCCTCACCCGGGCTGACCCGAGATCCCCGCGCAGGGGAGGGACAGAGTGCCGGCCCCTCCCTCCTCTTTCGGCCGTGACTCAGCCTCGGAGCTGCTGCCGTGTCCCAGCCAGGGGCGGAAAGTGTGAGGCGCCCCTGCGGGCCCAGGCCAAACCAAACAGCCCCCCACCCCAGACATTATCTCACTGGAGAATTAGGGGGGCTCTAGGAAGGAGGGGGGCAGCGGCAGGCATGGGGCGCAACCGCTAGGGGAATCCGCTCCGGGTTTTCCTCTCGTCCCTGTCCCCCTTGGGTCCCGAGGCTGGTCACTACTCCGGGTTTTCTTCTGGGCCCCGCCGGTCAGATTCCGGTTGTCGAGGGCCCGGCCCGGCGGGGTCCAGGCCAGGCTTTCCCCCTCCCTCCTCCAGCCGTCGGGGTCGCGCTGGTCTGCGGAGCGGCTGTGCCAGGGCCGAGGCGGCCGTGCCAGATGCCCCAGTGCCAGATGCGCCCGTGCAGTGCAGAGGGGGCTGCTTCGGGGAGGAAGGGGCACGGCCGAGGGAACGGAGGGCGGGAGCGTGTCACCGGGAGGGCAGAACCAGGCCTCCGCGGGCAGTGGAAGGGCGGGCGCCTCGCTTGGCACCAGCCCGTAGGTACAGATAAGCGGACGGCGCCCGGCGCCTCGGGCTCGCCCCGTCCTCCTCTCCGCGGGGTGTGCCCGAGGTCGTGCTGGATCCAATTGGATCTTTCCGGGCCGACCTGCCATTCCCCGCTGGATTCTCGACCCTCCCGGGACCTCCCGAGAGTCCCTCGGTGACCCTCCCACGTTTCGCTTCGTCTGGTCCACGCATCTCCCTTCCTCGCCCAGAAGTCGGGGGGGAATCCCGACTTGAAATTCCCGCCTACTCCCCAACTCCGGGCCCTCAACGCCCCGAACCACCGAGACGGCTGCGGCCGGGAAACGCGGCCGGGGCCGGGCCCCGCTCCCTCCCCCGACCGCGGGCCGGGCCCCTGGGGCCTCCGCCACCCCCGCCCCGCCCCCAGCCCTGACTGGAACTGGGAACCCGAGGGCAGGTGTTGGGCCTCCTGGGGATAGGGGGCGTCCCAGCGACGCCCGTTCTAACTTAAATCTCCAGGCGGCCAACTAGGTATTCATTTGGGGGGAAGCAGCAGGAGGTGGGTGAATACCCGGAGAATGCAGTGCTTGACCACAGGGAAGGGGGGCCCGGCTGGAGGTGCACCCTCCCAGGGAGGCTGCTACCTGCGCTGCGAGCGGCTGCGGAGCCGAGCGACGGCTGCTGGGCCACGTGCTCCAAAGGGCAGCCGCGGAGGAACGCGATGCCTTAGACTAGACGTCTAGAGCCTGGAGGAGGGAGGTTCTGCCTGGGGGGGGGGGGGTCCTGAGTGAGTGGGTCTGGGGGCCTGTTCTGGAATGTGGGGGGCCGAGCTGGAAGTGGAGCGTCGATCTGCGCCAGGCGCCCACCTCTTCCCTGCTGCCCCCCTTCCCCCCGCTGCCTCCGCTTCCCTCGAAAAACCCGCCGCCCAGGAAACCGCTGGGGGCGCTCAGACCGCAGCACCCCCAGCTCGCCGCCCCCCGGCGCCCCACCGCGACCGCCCAACCCACCTGAAGGGGCCGTGGCTGCGAGGGTTGCCCCCCTCCCGCCGACTCCCCCCGACTCCCCCCACACCTGCGGGCGGCGCTATTTATAACTCGGCGCCGATTCCGCGCCTCCCTCGGGGCGGGCGCCGGCTGCCTCGCCAAGCTAATCGTCGCGGGGATCTCTGCGCCCCCCGGGGCCGGGGAGATAAATTTAGCTTCAGGAAGTTCGGGGGAACATTTTCCAAAACTCCACGTCCCAGGGAAGGCGAATCAGAGAACCCCTCTGCTCTCAGCCTCCCTCCAGCCAGCCGCCAGGCGGCGCAGGTCCCCAAGTCCCTGGAACCCAGCTAAGAAAGAGTTTGGGGCGCTGCCTGGGAGCTGGGATAGGTGGAGGTGCAGGCGAAATATGGAAGGGTGCTGAGGGCTGGAGGTCAGAGCGTGCGGAGAATGGCCGGGAGAATGGGTGTGAGTGCGCCCGGACAGCCTGGCAGACGCAAAGCCTCAGCTGGGAGTAACTGAGAAAGGGGCGGCGACTTCTGCCTTTTGAAGGGGAAATAACTCACATGCAAATAGGGATGCAAATAAGAGCCTTGGCCCTTGGGGGTCTGCGCTCTGGAGCTTATGAAACGACCACCACACACCCCATTCCAACGGCCTTACTGGGAAACTGTGGGACCCTCCCAAGATCATCACTATAATAATCCAGTTTATGGCGTGTGGCTCCCCGGAACACTCCGCTATGACCTCTCTCGTCCACCGGTCTTTCCTACACCACCGAGGGCCTATATCCTGGGAAATCCGCTGGGAATTCTGGTGTCATGCCGCTCCTCCTCAGGCGGGTGTCCTGTGGCCTGAGAGGGTCCCAGGGCGCAGAGGGGCAGGTGAGATCTTACCCATCCCGCCCTATTTTGGCACTTTACTTCCCTTCACCCCTCCCCCGCCAACCCTCTAGGACAGTGGTTCTCAACCTTCCTAATGCCGCGACCCTTTAATACAGTTCCTCATGTGGTGGTGACCCCCAACCATAAAATTATTTTCGTTGCTACTTCATAACTGTAATGTTGCTACTGTTATGAATCGTCATGTAAATATCTGATATGCAGGATGTATTTTGTGACAAATTGAACATAATTAAAGCATAGTGATTAATCACAAAACAATATGTAATTATATTTGTGTTTTCCGATGGTCTTAGGCGACCCCTGTGAAAGGGTTGTTCGACCCCCAAAGGGGTCTCGACCCACAGGTTGAGAACCACTGCTCTAGCATAACCTCCTTCCTTCCCTGCTCGCACCCCCCCCCCCCAAGTCCCTTGCAGTGCGGACTTTTTCTGACATGGAGAACTTTTAGCCACAAGGCCTATTTATTATATCTATAGCGCAGGGATTCTCAAACAGAGATATTAGGGGGCAGCCCCTTCCTGGCACTAAGAGGATACGGCAAGATCAACCATCTGGGCTGGTGGGCTCGCTGTGCCAGGCTTGGAGAAGTGCCAGGTCCTGCCGCAGGCTTGTTAGGGTCCTAGCCAGCAGGCCAAGGTCCCGCGCACCAGGGCTCCACCAGAGGTGGGGGCTGGAAATGGAGGCCCAGCGATGAGGCCGGTCTGAGACAGACGGCGCCGACCCAAAGCGGGATCCACACTTCACTCCTTGTTTGTGGCCCATCTTTGGTCAATGCAGCCGGCCCCGGGAGTCTTGGTGGGGGAAGAGCTGGGCACTAAAGAGAATAGAAAGCTGGGAGACGGTCTCTGCCACAGCGGCAGCAGCCATGCCTCCTGTCTGCTTGTCCTCCTTGCTCACCTGCACAAGGCCAGTTTTCTGCTGCCATTAATCCAGGAGCTCCTTGACACACCAGCAGCAGAGGAGGACGTAGAGGACCTCCCTCAGGGTGCGCTGCAGGCCCTCCCACCTGGTGCCCGTCTTTACAACAGGCACCCGGAGC